CAGCTTTCCATCACCCAGGCCAGCCTGCTGTGCCTCCAGCCGCCCCGCCCGCTGCCCACCAGCCAGCCCTGGCAGTGCTCAGGGCTTACTTTGGGATCTCCCTCTTTGGTTTCTTTTTCACCCGTGCCAAGCAGCAAGGGAAACCGCCCCCTCCTCCGCTCTGTGAGCTGGCCTCTGCTCCCACCCACCCCCTGACCACCCCTGGGCACCAGGGAGGAGAGCAGCTACTACCGATGGCTGTGCTCCAGGGACTAGGTGGGAAGAGAGGAGGAGGAGGGAGCAGGTGGGGGGGAGGAAGGAGAGAGAAATCAAAAGGGCCCACCAATGCGTGCTGGACGCAGGGGGAATGATGGAGAGAGGAGGAAATGGGCACGAACGTGTTTGGCAAATTAAAGCGTCTCCCTTTGTTTTGCTGCTTTGCAGATAGCTACAGGAACACTTAGTGCAGAGCCTGGGGTCTGGATAAGCAACTCTTTTAGCAGCAGGAAAGGTTGTTAAATATTTATTTGTAAACCTGGAGTCTTTATCTCTAAAATGTAGTCAAGTTCAATAAAATTTGATTTAGCTGGAGCAGCGTAGAGGAGACGAGAGCACTGACTCCGAGAGCTGTGTCTCGGCGGCTTCATGCAAAGCCAGCAGGCCAGAGATGGGGGTGAGCCCGTGGCTGACCCGCACCCGTACCCACACCGCAGCCCAGCGTGGGTGCCCAGTGCTGCTGGGGTCAGGCTCACTCCTGTGTGGCGCTGGGAACACCAGCTGTGCTGCCACCCCACCACAGCAAGGTCGGCTCCTGCAGGGACGGACGGGGTGGGGGTGCGCTCCCTGGCCCTGCTGAGCCCCCAGAGCACTGCGGGCCCCCCTGGGGATATGGCTCACTTCATCCTAAGTTGCCTGTTGTCGTTCGATGCTCTCGAAAGCATCTGCTTCAAGGGTGAATGTCTCCCACACTGTAATTTATGGCTGCCAGGTGGGGGTTATAGCTGACTTGGGGATTTTTGCGCTTGCTCACTGTCAGCATGGCAGATTGCTCCGTGCCAAGGAGCACCGGCCCAGCCCCGACCGCTGGGCACCCCTGTGGGGCGGTGAGCAGGGGACAGCCCAGGGACAGAGGTGACAGTGGAGGGCACGGCCAGGCGTGCTGCCCACCCCTTGGAGCAGGAGGGCAGCAGCAGACTAAGGAGCAAACCCAGGTGCAGAGCCTGGGCTCCCTCCTGGGTCATCGCCCGGGTTTGGTTTCCCCGGGGCCGTTCCTCCCATGCTGAGGCAGCCCATGCCTGTCTCGAGGGATCAAACCCCACGCATGCTGGCGCTCCAGCCTGGCCCCGGGCTGGATTTCCAGGCACAGGCCCAGAATAACGTCTTTCCTCCCAGTGCTGATCCCAGCCGGAGACACTCAGCAGGTCCTGCTGCATTTAGCAGCGAGGCAGCGCGGCTCCAGTGCGCCCATCTGCGCCTCTTGGGCCAAGTCTAGCAGCTTCCCTGGGGGAAGGGGGTGTACTTTGGAGCCCTCGTCCCCAGGCGTCAGGGTGGTGAGGACCCTGGCAGGTGATGGATGCCATGGCTCTGGGCATGATTTTTGCTTTGGTTTGCAGTGGTTTGCTCATTGCCTGAAGGCAGCGAGTCCGGCAGCTGCTCCTTTCTTATCGATTCTTTTTTTAATGTGAGAAATGACAGCCACGTTCACGCCAGAGGGCTGCAACTCTCCCTGGGCTGGCCTGGCCTGGGCATCACAGCCACGCGGCCTGATCCTGCCTGGCAGCTCGTGCTGGGGCCATGGCCGGGCACCCTGGAGGGGTGCTTGGGCACGTTTCACGGTCCTCCTCAGAGTAAATCTGGGAGGGCTTCAATTTTCGGAAAGCCCTTGGTGGAGCTTAGTTTCAGTCACTTCCCAGTTTCCTGCAGGCGGCAATTGCTGAGAGCAGCCACTGCCGCCTCTCCCCCGGTGACACCAAGCCTCATCCCCAGAGTCACCTGAGCTCACCCGAGGCGGCCACAGCCCCTCGCCTGGCCGGCACCCGCGGCCCCAGCGCAGGGTACCACCGCAACGTGGGGC